ATGCGGTTAAATATCTGAGCTTGCTTTTACTGAGTATTGAGAGTTGGGATGGGCACAAGGTGGGTGAGAACGAGTCTCCAGATGCCTGTGTCGCATGTGCCTCTCTTTGCTCAGTGCCGTGCGGGGTGAGAAGGATTCGCAGGTGACCGTCGACTTCATCAGAGTCAAACATTTTGCAGCGTGAAAGAACGTCGTGGGAATGGAAACATCCTCGACGAAGAACATATTATACTTCCCGTGACAGGCACACTTTATTGTAATTACTCGGCTGAAAAGACGGGGATTGATCGACTGAATCACCCTTAGTATGGTGAACCTCGCTCACTTTAATGGTTCACGCTAATGCTGGTTCAGCATTGTAAGGCCCGCCACTAGAAATCCTAGGAGTAGACGTATTCATCGCCGGTTTCCGTTGGACTTTCCGTAAAAGTTTAGCTCGCGCTCAACATATTGAGCGATAGGGAAGGTACTTAGCTAGTTTGGAATGTCTACTGATGAAGCACCAGTAAAAATGTCTCCCAATTTCTGTTTACGGTCGCCATGACAAAATATATCGTTTGTCACTTGGCCCAAAAAAACCTTTTTAGTTCATACCATTGCATCCCTCACTTATTGCATTCTTTCGGCCTGGTGACAGAAAATACCAATTCCTTTACGAGTAAACGAAAAGGAACTTTCGGCATGAGGTAAACGTAGCAGCAGTGACAAATGCTATATTATGTCATCAGACGATAAAAGTATTGTTAATAATGGGTACATTTAATAAATAAATAACTGTTTATTCAAGATTTTGGGGCAAAAAAGAGATACAAAAAGGAATGACGCGTCTGCGGACTAGAAACGAAGATGAAAGAATATCGAAAAAGAAAAAGACGATCGTACATGAAGTTGGTTGAGAAGAAGGAAAAGTGCAAATACGCAACACTACTTCCTCTCTTGAAAAGTTGTCGGCCCGACCACAGCGCGCTTGTTAACAGGAATTGTAGTGAACTTTCAGTTAATTGATAACTGAAATGATACTTCAATTATCTAGGGCCTTCAACCCAACCCTCTTTCAAAAACCCAGATGGAAAATAATAGAAAAAGAGGAGGTTCGACTCGAAATGATTAATCTGATCTTGACGCAAAATTCTTCCTCCTAATGAGGTCCACAAGGTATAACTCCCTCCCAAGGTTCCTCCAGAGGCATAGAAGGCAGTCGAGGGTTCAGACTGGAGGACAAATCCCAAAAAAACAAAAACAAATGTTTTTGCAAAAAAACTGCGCCAAGAAAAAGTTTTGTGGGGTCGTTTCTGGAAAGAAGAAACATTTTTTTCTGGAAACCACAATTCCCATAGAAATTTTGCAAAAAATAAACAAATAAAAATCAAAGCCAAGTCAAGAAATGTCCAATGGATCATGGAATGTGCTATCAGATTATTATGGGGAGGATAACTCTGAATAGAAGGATTTTCAAAAAAATCTTCATAAAATAAAAAATTCAGTAGAGAAAGGATTCAAAGTTCTTGGCGCGGATCAGAAGATACAGATTGATACAAGACAATGAGTTGGAAAACTCCGCGCCAAGAACTTTGAATCCTGTCTCTACTGAATTTTTTATTTTATGAAGATTTTTTTGAAAATCCTTCTATTCAGAGTTATCCTCCCCATAATAATCTGATAGCACATTCCATGATCCATTGGACATTTCTTGACTTGGCTCTGATTTTTATTTGTTTATTTTTTGCCAAATTTCTATGGGAATTGTGGTTTCCAGAAAA